AACGGCCAAATTTTGGGGTGATTTTCTTCCAGTTGCTCGTCAGGTTGCCCAGCAGAGAGAACTGGACCCTGTAACCCATTCTCCACGATTTCAACCAGTGGTGTACTAGGAACACCCAGATCTTTTTTGCTAATATTCCTGCCAAGCCACATTTCCCCTTCTGTACTTGTTCCGTTTATTTTTCTTACCCAAATACAGAACTTACATTCCTTCCTGTTAAACTTCATCCTACCTTTCAGGCCCCAGAGTTCAGGTTGCAAACATGATCGTATAACTGCAGGACGTTGCAATCGGTCATAAATGTGAGACACTTTTCTCACATTTTCAGTTTCTGGGTGTTACCATAAAAGAGGACCTGACCTGGGGTGTTCACATTGCAGCACTGGTCAAAAGGGCCCAGCAGAGATTATACTACCTGAGACTTCTCAGGAAACAATAACTGAATGAAAAATTGCTGGTGATCTTCTACTGCTGCACCATAGAGAGTATCTTAACTCACTGCACCTCTGTATGGTTTGCCAGTTGCACAGGGGAAGATAGGAAAGCACTCCAGAGGGTTAACGTCATTGCCCAGAGGATCATGGGTTGCTCTCTCCCCTCTTTGGAAGAGCTTTATAGCTCCCACTGCCTTAAGAAAGTTCAAAACATTCTCAAAGATCCATCTCATCCTGGGCACCTTTTTTTGAACTATTATCATCTGGCACAGAATAATAAAAACAAGGACAAATAGGCTGAAAAACAGCTTCTATCCCATAGTGCAGTGTTGGTGCGGTGTCAGGGTTTTTCAATTCAATGTGTTGAGTGTGAAGGATGTGTGTTTGTGTTTATTTTCATGGTCATGATGTGCACTGAAGATGGTGTTTGATTTCATCATAGGAGGTGCAGTGACAATAAACTAAACTAAACTAAACTAAACTAAACTAAACTTGCCAAGAGTCTGATCTGCCTAGATTTTTTTCAATCTCCTTTATCTCTTTTAAGCTGTTTATCCATCCTTCTTGTTTTACAGGTAGTCCTTGACTTATGATTGTTTAAGTTCAAAGTTACAGCAACCTCGAAAAAAGGAACTCACCACCTGTACTAACACGATTGTCTCTCTCACACACATATAAGAACATGATTGCAGTTCAGGTGTATGGCAATCATCTCATATTTATGACCAATTGCAGTATCCTCTGGTCACATGAATACGTTTGCAACCTTTTTTGTCTATTTCTAGCACATACACAAAATGCCCATTTGGGAAGCTGCATTCACTTAACGACTGCCATAAAAATGGAATAAAATCAGTTCTGGTTTGATTTACGAGTACAGCAAGTTACGATGGAAATTCTGGTCCCAGTTATGGTTGTAAATCAAGGATGACCTGTATATCATCCACAGAGCAGATAATCATCTACTCAACCCCTTCATCAAAGTTACTAATAAAAAGGTTGAACACAAAGCTCTCTGACCTTCCGCCCAAATATCATTCACCAATTTGCTATGATTAATACTCTCAGTTTGGACAGTCAGCCAATGATGAATCCATCTAACAGTATCATTTAGCCTTATTTTATCATTTTAGTAATGAGGATGTCATCAGAAACTTTGCCAAATGCTTTTCATCTTTTTACAGTTACATTATTTAGCTAGATCTGAGCCAGCCCTTCTCAGTCTGGTGACTTATGTGAGATAATACTATAAAAAGCAGTGTTGCTTTTTAAAAACTTTTGAGTTCGCATACTGCATTTATGACCTCTCCAGTAGTGAATTATAAGAATTTTGTATGAATTTATATGAAAGGCACCAGATTAGAAATGGTTGGATTAAAGTATAAGGTAAATGAATTAGAATTCTAGAATTAGAATTAGAATTCTTTTTTATTATAGAATTTATAGAATAGAATAGAATAGAATAGAATAGAATAGAATAGAATAGAATAGAATAGAATAGAATTCTTTTTATTGGCCAAGTGTGATTGGACACACAAGGAATTTGTCTTGGTGCAAATGCTCTCAGTGTACATAAAAGAAAAGATACATTCGTCAAGAGTCAAGAATCATGAGGTACAACACTTAATAATAGTCATAGGATACAATAAGCAATCAAATCATACTAGGAAACAGTCAATAAAAATCGTAAGGATACAAGCGACAAAGTTACAGTCATACAGTCACAAGTGGGAGGGGATGTGTGATAAGGAGTGATGAGAAGATTAATACCATGTTTCTCATATAATAAGGCCGGGTCTTTTTTTTTTTTTTTTGAGCCCCGAAAAAATGGCTAGGCCGTCTTTTCGGGGGTGACTTAATTCCCCCCCTTGCATCTTCGGGCGGGCGGGCAGCGATGGCTTGGATGTTGACCTCGGTGTTGGTGGGGCACTTCATATTGGGGTCAACGCAGGCAGCACCATATCCGGGTGTGCAACAAAAGTACTTCCTAACGGCAAGCCCCCCCACCATTCCCCCCCATTTCGCATGTTTTAATATAGGCCTTAATTTGGCGGGAGGGGCTTAATTTCATTTCATGCCTATAAAACATGCTGGGACTTCCTATTGGGGGAGGCCATATTGTTGGAGAAACAGGGTAGTAATAGTAGTGCAGACTTTGTAAATAGTTGGACAGTGTTGAGGGAATTATTTGTTTAGCAGAGTAATGGCGTTTAGGAAAAAAACTGTCCTTGTGTCTAGTTGTTCTGGTGTGCAGTGCTCTGTGAATTAGAGCAGCCAATGTAGCCATCTTTGCTACACTGCAAAACCTCCATCAGTGATTGCAACCAATCATCCATCCATTGTCAGAATTTAGGTGTCTTTCCATAGTTGTTACTCCCATAGTTGATAGGTTGTGTACAGCAATTTCTGGTCTTGTAGAGTTGATTCTGCCCTGGGTTCAACAAGGATCCTTAGTTTGTTCCAGGAAGAAGAAAGATGAAGCAATCCAATTTCAGGACCCCATGCCAATCCCAAACGTTGTTCTTTTCATTTGTGGGAAATATTGGATTTTTCCACCTGAAAATGCGGTGGAAAATGCGTCAGACCTACATAGCAATCCGGTTACACTATCAGCCTGCTTCCAGAGAACTGGAGTGGAGAATGACTGAAAGCAGGTTTTTTTTTTTTAAATGTGAGCCACTAATCTTGTTAAGCTGCCCACAAAGTTATTATAACTCTATAGCCAACATAATGTGCAGAAATACATCTGGATTTAGTTCTGTCAAGAGTTCTCTTCCCAGGAATTGGCCAAGGTGCTTGTATGTCATGGAACATTCATACTCCCCTGACAAGGTTCAGTGACAACATGTTGTGAATCATTCATTCAGCAACCGAAAGGGAAGTGTGAAGTCAGTTTTTCTGAATTAAAAAAATAAATAAAAATACAGAAACTCCGAGCGTGGTTACAGAGATGAGAGCTGGCTTTCACCATGATTCAGAATGACCAACCCCATCCTTGGCTGCGCATCTTTAGTTATAGATACATGTGGAAGAACTAATAGCATGGAGTTCATTGGCAGCCCTTGGCTGATGTTCCCAAGCATGATGTGCCCTTTGCAAAACCCACAGATCGGAAGTCACTGTATGCCAGGGAAAATCGGGGTTAGTTTATCCTTCCTGAGAGCCCCCAAAGGAGTTCTCTGTCTGATGCTTGAACAGTCCTGGTTTGTTGACTCAAAGGCCAGGCTATGAAGTATTTTGGGGAAATAAAATAAAAAGTAGAGCAATGACTCATTGCCCTAGGTCAAAGATTCAAGGAAGGGAGGGAAGGAAGGAAGGAATGGAAGGAAGGAAGGAAGGAAGGAGACTGGTGGAGTAATTTAAATTTGTGGTCTCTTAAAGAGGTCCAGGTTAGGGGCTCTGACTGTGATTGTGTGCTTAGTTATCTGATCTTGAAGAAGTTGATGGGTCTGTTTATAAACCTTCCACTGAATGTCCAGAATGAGCCAGTCAGGGAACAAGAAAAGGAGTAATGAAGGTATTTTATATGCATTTTTGTAAAAAAAAAGGGGATAAATTGTGTGTTTATCTGATTGTGATTCTGCCCTTTGAATTTGCTGCGTGATATTCGCAATCTCCTTTTTTTTTAACCTTTTATAGTTTGGACTGTCAGTTGCATGGAAAACCAGTGATCAGAATTTACAATATTTCAGAAGTTTTTGTTTGCTTGTCTGTTTGGTTTGTTTTATATTTCACTATACAATTTTATTTATGTTTACCAGGAAGTCAGTCAAACAGGACTTAATCCCAGATAAAAGCAATACAATGACCATAATTCCGATCCAGCATGACCAATGGGAAAGTTGTGGACTCTGTAGTCCAAAATATCTGGAATGTGCCAAGTTAACTACTGTTTAAATCTACCTGATATTTGTTGGTACCAGATTTAAGGGATGTCTGGACATGTACAGACAGACCACCCAATGGTGCTTTTTTTCAAGAGGCCACTGGACTTTCTGTTTTTTTCTTTTGGAAGACGTTTCGCTTCTCATCCAAGAAGCTTCTTCAGTTCTGTGAATAGATTCAGCTCTGAGAAGAGCTGAAGAAGCTTCTTGGATAAGAAGCGAAACGTCTTCAAATAAAAACCAGAAAGTCCAGCTAACCTCTTGAAAAAGCCCCTTTGGGCCTAGTGATGGGATTCAAATTTTTTTACTACCAGATCTGTGGGCGTGGCTTGGTGGGCGTGGCAGGGGAAGGTTACTGCAAAATCCCCATTCCCTCCCCACCCCGCTAACCTGCTTTCCAGCTCCGTTCTCCCGTGCAGGGCAACCAAAGAAGACCCAGCCAATCAGATGGGACTCGGGAGGCGGAGAATAGATGGGGGCAGGGCCAGTCAGAGGTGGTATTTTCCGGTTCTCTAAACTACTCAAAATTTCCGCTTCCGGTTCTCCAGAACTGGTCAGAACCTGCTGAATGCCACCCCTGCCTTGGAGACAACCGTGACCTGGATGGTTGAGAATCTCCACAGACATACAGGCAGACATACACACAGACATACCTGCTGACCTTCCTGGTTTGGCTTTGCAGGAAACAAAGGGCCCCTGGGGGAAACAAGCCACAGCAGCACTCAGAAAACCAGCAAGGCACCACCAAACACAACAAAGAACACCAGAAACCTTCACAAGGAGGCCAAGCGCCACACTCCTCGGGGCGATGTGGCCACCACGGCTACAGCCAGAACCGGCGGTGGCATCACAACCAGAAACACTCTTCCAATGACAAAGAGACGCACCGAAACACCAAAGAGACCGAGAATCTAAAAATAGAAGATACTTCTGTCTGCACGGTGCACATCCCTCTGGAGATGCACCGCAACCACGATGCCACCGAGAGGCCGTCGCCACAGTACCTCCAGGATCCCGAAAGCAAACGGAAGGACAGCATCCACGAACGGAAAAACGAGAGACCCAAAGTCAACTTGCTGCAGTCTTCCAAGGACAGGCTACGCCGGAGGCTAAAAGAGAAGGTAACTGCTGTTCCTCAGTCACTTCTTTTTTTTAAAAAAATAGAACTTTATTAAAATTCAGAAAGAATTAAAATTCACACTAACTACCAAAAACAGGGGAAGGAAAAAATTCAAAAGGAGATAGTGTGAAAAAGTGGCGGGGGGGAGGGGGAAGAGGAGAAAAGTAGGGAAAGCCGTTCAACTTTTCTCAGTACAAATATATAATATCTAAATTAAGCCTAACGTAACCGATAACTAACTTCAAATTTAGAAACCTCTACAACATTTCTGTAGTCTTCGACAAATCCAGACATCCAATCATTAATCCAGAAATACCTATCCATCATTATCAAAGCCAGTTTGGTCCAGTGGTTAAGGCACCAGTCTAGAAAGCGGGAGACTGTGAGTTCTAATCCTACCTTAGGCATGAAAGCCATTTGAGTGACTGTGAGCCAGTCATTGGGAGGTGATGAATTCCAGTCCTACCTTAGGTGCAAAAGCTAGGCTGGTGACTTTGGACCAATCACCAGGAGACTCTTAGTTCTATCCCAACTTAGCCATGAAAGCTGGATGGGTGACTGGGCCAATCACCCGGAGAATTTTAAGTTCTAGTCCCGCCTTTAGCCATGAAAACCAGCTGGGTAACTTTGATACAGTCACTCTCAATCCAAATCACCTCACAGTGTTGTTGTGGGGAAAATAGGAAGGAGATATATTCACTGCCTTAAATTATTTATAAAAAATAATAAAGGCAGGATATAAATAAAAACTAATAAACCGGATTGCAAAAATAATCTCTATTTTAAAAATCAACCTGAGCAAAATCTTAAAACAAGCATATATAAGTATTCCATTTCCATATCTCTGTTAATTCATTTTCCAATCTATTTTTGTTACTAATTTTTACATTTATTTCATCTGCATATTTCCTCATTAATATAGCCCTAAAAAAGAAAGGAAACCCCCCCCCCCATATTTCCTCCATTCTATAGATCCATCATAACAGGAGGAAAAAAAAACCCAATCTGAAAACACACATCCATCTTGTTTTCCTCACTCACTTCTTGAGCCATCAAAGACATTTGCAAGTTTCTTGTGTCAGGGAGTTGAGCTAACCTTGTTACTGAGGATTTGTGACCATGATGTCACTGGAACAAGCAGAACCAAAATGTTCAAGCCTTTAATAAGAGTTTTGATAGGGCTTATAAGGCATCCATTTGCCCTTAAATCCTCCCAAATGGGAAAAAAAAAATAGGCAAGGAGGGCTGGCACAAGTGAGTGCTTTAAACCTGTACAATAAGTTCAGTTTTCTGGAGTCATCTGTATGATTCCCTCATATGAAAACTTTTATTTCCACCACAAGCTTCCTCTGTTATCTGTATTTAAATCCGGAGGGATGAAATCAATCCATCAGCAGAATTGAGATGTATTTGTTATGTTGTACATTGCTTATTTATTTATTAAACAAACTCATATAGCTGGCCAACTCGCACACAGTAGCTCCAGGTGGTGTACAACATTAAAAGTCAACAGTTAACAGATAACAGATAATCAGAGTTGGAAGGGACCTTATAGGTCATCTAGTCCAACCCCCCACCCAAGCAGGAGACATTACACCATTTCTGACAAATGGCAGTCCAATCTCTTCTTGAAAGTCTCAGGTGATGGCACTCCCACAACTTCCAAGGGCAAGCTGTTCCCGTTAAAAATCCATAGTTTAACTGACCCACTGCCCGCCCCATGGCGACAAGAGAATCAAGCCAAACCGCTGGATTGGCTCTAAATGGGGTCCCTGACTAAACAGTTTCATCAAGAGTTTGCAGAAAAGCTACAGGCAGAGCCAATCTTATCTCTAGGGGAATAATTCTAAAGGGAAGGAGCCACCACCGAGAAGGCCCTTGCTAGTGAGTTAGCTTTTCATGCCTTATCACAGAGAAATCATGTTTTATTCCAGAAAGAAAAGTGTAATATAAATGATGACTAATATATTGTTTTTGTTATTGTCAACTTTACAGAAACTATTGCTCTTTGGCTTTATTTTGTCTTGGAAAAGTCTTATTTAATGTCCCTGTTTAATTTCTCTTCTGCTTCAGCAAAACCAGCGCAATGTCCTGTAATAAATACCATGTTCTGCCTCTAGGTGTCACTCTATATTATTTGTTGCTTTTGCTTTCTATTGATCAGAGCTAATCTTAGTTTTGACCCAAATAATCTCACTTCCACATCCGGGAAAGTCCCCACTTAAAACAATGTCCTTGGCATCAGTTCATGAATCTTAACAAACCAACCATAGCCCGTTTATTTCTTGTGCCAACTTACCTGAAGCCAGCCATTTAATTGAAATTAGAATGCAATTTTATCTCTAAAGTTGAAGGGGACTTTTTTAATCCTTTATCACACCATGGAATGAGTAATTCAATGAAAATAAATGTCATCATGAAATTCATCATGAAAATGATGAGCAGAAACTCAATGGGCATGGCTTCAGTATTATAGACGTCAGCATTTTTTTAAGGATTATTCATTCCTTTAATTGCTGTCTGCCATACGGGCATTAAAAGTGCAGAGTTTCTGCCCAAAAAACAGAGCCTTTTTTATACTCCAAGATCTGTGAAAAAATTTAGGGGATGTGGTTATCTCCATTTCCACAGCATAGAATTTGAAGAAACAAGACAGTAATTTTTTCAGAAGACCTTGGATATTCGTTGGTTAAAAAAATACAAGTAATCTTAAACCAACAATCACAATTTAGCCCAGAATTTCTTTTGCTAAGCAAGACATTTATTAAATGAAGTTTGCCCTATTTGATGACCTTTCTTGACACATTTGTTAAGTGAATCACTGCAGTTGTTAAGTTAGTAACAAACATTGTTATTTGAATCTGGCTTCCCCATTGACTTTGCTTGTCGGAAGGTCACAAAAGTAATCCCCAAACCCCAGGACACTGCAATTGTCATAAATATGAGTTAGTAGCCAAGCATCTAAATTTTGATCATGTGTCCATGGGGATGCTGCAATGGTTGTAAATGTGAAAAACAGTCATAAGTCACTGTTTTCAGTGCCGTTGTCACTTTGAATGGTCACTAAATGAATCGTTTTAAGTGGAGGACTACCTGTAGGTCAATTGAAAAATTTGAAAGGTTCAATTTAGATTGATTCTGGTATTCTGTGGAGATGTACCACTATTTGAGTGAGATTAGCCAGAAATGGATACCAGGTCAGAACCACCACTGAAAATCTATATGTATAAAAGCGAAATGCCACTCATGCATCATCACAAAATCTCCAGAACCATAAAGTCTATAAACTTGAAATTTGGCACGTATGTTCCTCTTGGCTTCTAGGTGCACACTAAGAAAGGATTTTTCAAAATGACCATTAGTATTTTGTATATTATTATTATTAATACATTCTGATGTTAAGGTGTTCTATTCCCACCTCCCCACCTGAAAAGAAATCTGTTCCAAATACAAAACACAAGCAGAGGAGAGGAGTTTCAGTTTTACTTTCACAGCAGCAACCCACTTTAGTACAGAACAGTTGAGCTAAGCCACGCCCAAGCTCCTTGCTGTCTCCTTCTTGCTCACACAGCAAATACTCTTTCAGTTTCCATGTTTCAGTTTCCAAACAGCCCTCAACTCTCACACACATGCTGGTAGTAGAGACAGAATTTTTTTTCCCCCTTATTTTCCTCCCCAAAAACTAAGCCCAATCGCATAGTTTCGTAGCGAAGCACGAGCACAGAGTTAGTATGCTACTATTTTCATAATACGGCAGCCTTAAAATGCATTGGGACCACAAGTCCCAGAATTCCCTGGAGGGTCCTAGATTGAGCAGGCAGGTTTCTACTATGCTGGCTTTTGTTCGATGCCTCCTAACCGTCATGGCTTGTCACACAGTGCTGATCCGTGTTCTCTTCTCTTTCTCCCTCCATGTCTCCCCCTTGCGTAACAGATGCCTTGTCTTTCCCTTTTCACGGATCAGGACGAAGTGGTGGTGGAGTCCACAGACCCACAAAGGAACAAAATGGACAAATTAATTGAGATTCTCAATAGCATGAGGAATAACAATAGCAGCGGGGTGGACTCCAAGCTCACCAACTTCATGGAGGAAGCCCAGAATTCCACCAACTCCGAGGAGATGCTGGGGGAGATAGTCAAGACCATCTACCAGAAGGCCGTGACTGACCGTAGCTTTGCGTGCACGGCGGCCAAGCTGTGCGACAAGATGGCTCTCTTCATGGTGGACGGCACCAAGTTCCGGAGTCTTCTTCTCAACATGCTTCAGGTAACCGGATGAATGGTTGCTTCTGCGCCTTCAAGGCGTTCCTTCGCTGGTGGGGGTGAGATCTCCATACCATCTGGCCATGCTTCAAAAGCAAGCCAGCATTCGTTTTGCACCCAATTAATTTTAGAAAAATAAAAACAGCAGGGAGAAAGGGAAGGGGCGGTGGCATCTCTGTTTGTTGACATGATGCGTTTCATGGTTACAGGGAACCGTTATTATTTTTATAGACATCCGCCGTCCTTCTCCAGGCCTATTTTAAACGATCCCTTTAGCAAACACTCAGTTTCTTGAGGTGCAATTTTTCTCTGTTCTGCATATAAGGGAGAGGGAGAGGGGGAATGGTTGAAAGGCTGCCTCTGTTGATCTACAGAGGGACGGAGGTTGGGTTTTTTTTTTTCCCCTTTTGCTTAGAACATTGGCTTCAGCTCAAAAGAGCCAGCAAACGAGCTGGTTTTATATAGGTTTTTTTCATCGCATTTGAGTAAATATGTATGACTCCTAAGGCCCAATGAGGTGAAAGAGCTAGCAGGGGAAGGAAAAACCTCCTAGCAGGCCCAGGGACAAGAAGAGTTGCAAAAGGTTTTGGTGGGAAGGAAGATTGAAGAGTTTGGAGAACTGAATTTCTTGTGCTGGCTTGAAATAACCCGCTAGCTGTTGGCTGCGAGTCTTCAGTTTTATATGTATTGTGTGCGATCAGTGGAATTTCTCTCCCACCCTCTTTTTTTTTAGTGGATCATATACAGCAAGGGTGTCCAACCTTGGTAACTTTAAGACCTGTAGACTTCAACTCCCAGAATTCCCCAACCAACATACAGTATATCGTTTTTAAAGACTGACTTTGAATAAGAGAGCTTAAACTGTCTATATCTGAGGGCAAATTTGCATTTTACAAAAGCTACTAGTTGTCTTCTTCTTCCATTTCCTTTCACCTTCCTCCAAAGAGCAAGGTCTTCATGCAATATGTCTGAAGGATATTTGCTTAGCAAGATGGGCAGCCTGTACCTTTAATAAACAAACAAACAAATAAATATTGTCCTTTTTGCCTCAAGTCTGGGCTTCGTCTTAGTGGACTAGGTATACCTTCTCTAAAATTATCTGACCCATGCCTGGTGCTTTAGGTCTTCCAATGGTGTACCCATCACCACTGGTGGGTGGTGATGACACTGCTGGTCATCTTTCTTTCCATTCTTCCCAGCTTCTACTTCTCTGGAGGACTAATTCTTCAGACAAGGGTCTGAACTAGGACAAGTTAGACCTCTGTGTTGATTTGATGATCCATCAGTTTGTTTTCTTGACTGTCCATGGTATTCTCTTCTCCCATTCCAAAATTCAAAAGCATCAATTCTCTTCTTATCCTACTTCTTCAAAGTCTAGCTTTAGCTTCCATGAAGTGCAATGGGATAGGATAGAAAATATGGAGTGGAGTGGAGGGAGTAGAGTAGAGTAGAGTAGAGTAGAGTAGAGTAGAGCAGAGAAGAGAAGAGAAGAGAAGAGAAGAGAAGAGAAGAGAAGAGAAGAGAAGAGAAGAGAAGAGAAGAGTAGAGTAGAGTAGAGTAGAGTAGAGTAGAGTAGAGTAGAGTAGAATTCTTTATTTGGCCAAATGTGATAAGACACCCAATGAATTTATCTCTGGTGCAGGAGCTCTCAATGTACATGCAAAGCAACAGAGTAATAATAATCATATTAATGATACCAACAAGAGGGAGTAATACAGAAGATGAGAAGGATAATAATAATACTACAGCCATACAACTTGGATAAATAGACAAAAGATAATACTGTGAGGATTAGGTGTTTAGCAGAGTGATGGCACAAGGGGAAAAACTGTGTCTAATTGTTTTGGCATGCAATGCCCTGCAGCAGTGTCCCAAGGGGACGAGTTGAAACAGTTTATGTACAGGATGTGTGGGATCTGTAGATATTAGGGAATATCATGATTTGCACAACTCTGATCTTTCGAAAGCAAAGTCTGGACCCTGAGTTAGGTCCAGCCTGGCTGTTCTCACATCCTTAACTTGTATTAGGGATGCACTCTTTTAAAAGCCTCTTTGATTCAGCTTCTTGGTGCACATCAACCTGGTATGTCTGCAGAATATTGGCTACATAGCACCAGATTCCCCCCTTACCTTCCTGCTCTATTTCTCTGATGTTCTCTGCTATTTTTTTTTCCGTTTGCTGCTGGAATTCCTTGTACTGTACAGCAAAGAAAAGGGGTGAAGGGGCAAATCTTGCACACAGAGCCCATATCAGTGTGTAATTCTCCCACCAAGACTGAAAAGATGTTTGGAGAGCACCCTTGGCTACCATCCCTCTCTTAAAGGGTTAGGAAGGAGACCAGGAGGAAGAGTGCAGAGAAAAGCAACAAAGATGATTAGGGGCCTGGTGGCTAAAACATACGAAGAACGGTTGCTGGAATTGGGTATGTCTAGTTTAATGAAAAGAAGGACTAGGGGAGACATGATAGCAGTGCTCCAAAGCACCTGAAGGCAAAACAAGAAGCAATGGATGGAAACTAATCAAGGAGAGAAGCAACCTAGGACTAAGGGAGAAATTTCCTGATAGTTGGAACAATCTATCAGTGGAACAACTTGCTTCCAGAAATTATGAATGCTCCAACACTGTAAGTTTTTCAGAAGAGATTGGACAACCATTTGTCTGAAATGGTATAGGGCAGTAGTGGCTAACCTTTTTGGGCTCCTGTGCCAAAAATCGTGTGCACGCTTGCACTCGCGTGCCAGCACCCAGAAGGCAATGTGAGACCCCCCACACCCCCTATGCATGTGCGTGCAATCCCCACCTACCCACCCCCATCGCCCCCTTACCTGCCCTGCGCCTCTCAGCTGATTTTCAGCTGGTTTGAGGCCAATTTTCGGCCTCCCAGAGGCTTGAGGAAGGCTTCTGCAGGCTTTGCAGGCCGAAAATTAGCCCTGTTTTCGTCACTTCCGGTATTTTCGGAAAAGCAGGAAGTGATGAAACGGGGCTAGTTTTCGGCCTGCAAAGCCTGCAGAAGCCTTCCTCAAGCCTTTGGGATGCCGAAAAAGACCTCAAACCGGCTGAAAATCAGCTGTGAGGCACATGCATGCCCAGTGAGGTAAGTTTGCCTGCAGCTCGCATGCCGGCACAAATAGCTCTGCGTGACACCTGTGCATGCCACAGGTTCGCCATCATGGGTATAGGGTTTTCTGTCTGAGCAGAGGGTTGGACTAGAAGATCTTCAAGGTCTCTTCCAACTCTGTTAGGAATTGGGATGACTTTTGTGGTCGTAGCAGAGAGCAAACACCAACAAATGACTCACAGCTGGAGCAGGAGAACCCAAAAGATCAGGGATGGGCAACTATGGCCCCGTTACGACCTGTGGACCTCAACTCCCAGAATTCCTGAACTGGTTGGCTCAGGAATTGTGGGAGTTGAAGTCCACAAGTCATTAAAGGGCCATAGTTGCCCCTCCCAGCAAAAGATGTTTAAAAAAACCTCCAGGTTATTCTGTGGTCTGTTGAGAGCTGGATTAATTTTTCCCCCATCACCTGCTACCCAGTCACGTAGGAGCTGCTTGGAACTCAGTAGCTTTGTGCCATCTGGACAGAAAAACAGTCCTTGTAGCTTAGTTTCCCCCCCTTCCCAACTCCTTTTGTTGCCTGCCCCCTTGCTGACCTGGAGCTGTGAAAGCAACCCCCCCACACACACGCCCCGCTAACCGAAAGTCTGTTGAAGAATGAGAGACGTCTCTTGCGAGCTTTAGGCGATAGACGTCCTCAGCGACTCTTTCTCTCTCTCTCTCTCAAGCAACCCACCACCCACGAATAATCTGTTACCGCTGTCAAAGTGGAGGGGGGGGGCTATTGGGGAGGGAGGATCTGCAGTTTCTTGTAGATTGGATGAATCCTGGGATTAGCTCTGCTCTGTGTGTATGTGTGTGTGTGTGTGTGTGTTGGGTTTTCTACATTGCTGAACAGATGGCTGCAGAAGCATTGCAGAGGAGACCCCCATGGAGTGCAGAAGGGAGCAAGACTACACAATTTTGTCACAGCATCGCAACTTTCCCCCCTGGCGGATAAACAGATTCTGGAGCAGATTCCTGGTCTCCCAGCTTGGTGTATATTTGGGTCTCTTGTTTTTTTTTTTTTTTTTAATGGCTGGGTTAAATAGACCAAATTCTATTTTGGTTCCAACCTGGGAGTAGCTTGTTTTGCTCTGTTCCATACCCGTGCAAAACTCTCAGGTCTACTTCAAATCCCGATAGACCTCAGCTCAGGGGTGGGCTTCAAAATTTTTAGCAACGGGTTCTCTGCCCAGTTGCTGGGTGGGCGTGGCCATGGCGGGTGTGGCCTAGTCAGCCTCCTGCCCTACAGTGGGGGAGGGGGGGCATTTTTTCCTCGAGCCTCCGGGAGGGCGAAAACAGCCTCCCTGGGCTCCGGAGGCTCTCTGGAAGATGGAAACGGGCCCATTTCCGGCCTTCATCGAACTTCCAGGTGGCCCATTTTTTGCCCTCCCCAAGCCTCCGTGCAGGCCCTGCACTTTCCTGCATCCAAAACTGGCCGCGTGGGGACACCTGGGAAGGGATGGGCAGGGCAGGGTGTGCAGGGCCAGCCAAGAAGTCTAGGAAGTCTAGTTCTGCCAAGAATGTCATAGGGGTTAATGGAGAGGCAGTTTCTGTAAGCAACACCAGAATGTTTCCTTCCTGCCTTCCTTACAGGATTAGTCCAGTAATTTCTTCTAACAACCGGTTCTCTGAACTGCTTAGAATGTTAACCGGTTCTAGTGAATAGGTGCGAACTGGTAGAATCCCACCCCTGATTAGGAGGTAACTCTCGTTCCATCATCAGCCATGGACACCGCCTGGGCGAACTCAACCCACCTAACAGCATTTGTTGAACTTGAATGGAGGATGCTGTGTTCGTATGAGGTGTGGTGTCTGTCTAAAGCACATCTTCCAGATCTAGTCTTACCAAGGCATTATGCCAAGCGGTAAATCTTCACGTGCTCTTCATTCCCAATTGTAG